ATCAGCGCTACTGAAACAAAATATTATATTATTATAGCTTAAATTTTGGTAAGTTAAATCCCATCACAAATTAGTAATTGTACTGAGGACTGAAATTATCATTTAGTGTATTAACAGTAAACTGTATAATAATAMTAATATATATAAGTAAATAATTGCACTTTAATTTATTGTTAAATTTAATTGTTTAAGGTACACTGAATGGTACAATTAATGGAGATTTTACACTACATATAATGTCAAAATGTATAATAAATATGCCAATATCATTAGGGTTACAAAAGAATTCTCCATTAAAACCAGCAGTTGACAGATTTTTGAGAAGAGTTATCGAAGCAGGGTTAGTGAAAAAATGGTTAAATGATGTTATGTTGGACACAGTAATACTCGAAGAACCTCAACAAATTGAAGAAGTTAAAGCACTTATGGACTTAAAAAAACTTTATGGAGCTTTTGTAGTTTTGGTTGCTGGTTATATTTTAAGTATATTGGTTTTATTAATTGAAATTAGTTATTGGTATGGAGTGGTAATAAAAGATCCACTATTTGATGAGTATTCATTAAACTGTTATAATGTAAAACAATAGAAAAACAAATATAATACTATGTGATGATTTAGAACACAATATTGTATTGATGAAATATTTTGAGTGATTTTACTGAAAACTTTAAATTTTTATCAATAAATAATAAATATTAATTGAACTAGAGTCAAAAACAAAAAATTAATTTTTTGATTATCTTAAGAGCTAATCTAAAATAATTGCATACATTATTAAAAATACAAATGATAATACAGCAGTTCTATCTTCTTTTGAACCCATATTTTTTCCGTTCATAAAATAGATCCGTTTTTGAACTTCCCAAATTTACAATTTTTGGACATCCATCTCTCTGAAATAAATAAAAAGTTATGAATCTGAAGCATTTATAAAACTTGTAATACAATTTGAAATATAACTTACATCTTTTTCTTGAACTGTACATTCCTTACAATAATATGCATCAGATACTCCAGGTCCACCACATATAACACATCGACCCTGGTATGAACCATAATTGCACTCATCGCATATTCGCACCAGTGTACATGGCCTGACATATGAGTCACAGATTACACATTTACCGTCACATTTTTCACATAATCGTCCTATAGCTGACTCAGAAGGTATAATGTGTTAATTAAATAAATAGAAAAGTATAATATACCTATTATTATTCTAATAGACTACAATATTATGAAAATAATAATTATAATAAATATTATCACTACACTTACCAACGCCGGGTTGTTTACGACAGAATATCAAGTCTGGATGATGTTTAGCCATTCTGTTGGGTTTCTGTTTAACGTCAAATAGGAAAACTTATTGCCGACAAATAATAGTTATTAGTTAAATTTTAACCGGCAGGATAACGAGTCAAGACGTGTGGCGAGTAAATAGTAAAYACTCACTTATCACTTATCACAATTACACTAAACATCCAAACAATAATATTTTTAAACGTCAGTGTCGCCAAAGTAAAACTTTAATACTGAAAATGGTAACTTGGTAACCAGCTTATAAATTCATAGACTTAAAATAAACTTTATGTACAGTAATGTATTTTTTAATATATATTAATATTATATTATTATTAATATAACATAAATTAATATAATTTATTATATAAAAAAAATATAAATATATAATAATAATTTTTGTTATTTTACCTTAATGTCCAAAATCTGACTCTAGAATATGAGATAGTATATTTATATTAGGCACATATAAAAATAATATAGTATAAAACTGCTTTCCTTTGGTGTTTGTTTTTTTTTCTATTTTATGTATATTAAAAAGTAAAAAATATAATGGTGCAAAAAATCCACGGAGATTTTTAAGTGTTGAAGTTATAGCCTTTTTAATTTGCGAATTTTTATTTGTCATGCATATTTAAATATTTGAACGAGTTAAAAGCTATGGCGCAATCGAAGCTAGTATGTTACGGTCTACCTACTTGTCGAATTATGAGTTAGGAGTGAATTTAAATATAACTACGATAGGTAGTGTAAAAATGTTTTAAAAACAAATTATTTGTCATGATTTAACATCWTGTCTAAGTTATAAAACATACTATTACAAATCAGTGTAACATACCTAAAGGCTACAATAAATAAATTATAATAGTATCTTATCCAGTGGCATTAGACTAATATAGGGGCATAGGGTTATTAGACTCCGGAGTTTTATTAAAACCCAAACGTTAAATAAATTATCATCTTATACCTACTAGTACATATACCTATAATGTAATAGTAT